CCCCTATGGGACACCTTGCCATGCCAAGCCACCAGTAAGTAATCTGGCATCACTGCAGCACAAAACATAGCAGCATAAAGTCCAGGTTCTGGTCACATTCATTCAGCATCCACTCCCTATCGCGCTCTGTGATTCAGAGAAGACTGATATTGTGTCTAATACCTTGGCTGAAATGGGTGAAGTTCTGCAATTTAAAGCACTGAGACAAACCAACTCCATGATGAAAGGAATACAGGAAAACTGTAATTTACAAAATGGGCCTAATCTGAAAAAAATTATTGTGAAAAGGACATTCGGAAGTTCTATATTTGTTATCTTTCAGTGTACCAGATCAAATCCATTCCCCCTACAAGATGTGTTTCTAATCGTCCATCCAAATTCAACCTAGTATCTGACAATCCAGCTGAATTCTTTTCTTCTCAAACGTACTCCCCATGAGTAAAGATTCTGTTGACCAATTTCCCTCCTTAGTGACTGTTATTCCCCCATTAAATTATATTCTCAGTCATACATGTGTAATCCCTTTAAAACTGTAAATGATTAGGAGTTAGTAACCAATTCTGTTGATGAGACAACAAATAACAACGACGACAAAAGGAAGAGCTGTAATAGAGATCTTTCTCCAAAAGCCGTGCTGCCTATGCTGGAATAACAGAAGTTAAAAGCAGTAAAAATTATTTTGTCACTAAACTCAGAAACACACAAAGACATATCAGTTAAATAAGAAGATATGTCTCTTTTCAGATTAGAGGAACATTTTAAAATAGAGAGTAATATACTGATTTTATTGGAGGTTTCATTGATAGAATATACTAATAAAAAATACTGCACCTACTCATCTTTTCCATACATCCACCACACTAGAAAGAAATCTGGTCGGTGAAGCTGTCACACTAGGTATCTTTGGCTACTTTTACCAGTCTGATGGATTTGTGTGCCTTCTTTAAAGCTTATATCCGATTGTTGATATTACATCAATTATTTGCCAGTTTCTTTATGGTGACTCTAGTGTTACTAAATGCTTCCTATTTTCTGGATTGCTTTGTTTCTTAGGTTCTCTTGATTTTTCCTTTTCTATTACACAATGGTAGTGACAAACAGCCTCTTTGATTTTCTCCCGGGGGTGAAAGTAACTTAAGTTTCTTACAGGGACTGTCAAATTGCACCCCCTGGGTGTTGGGGGGGGGTACAACATGACAGTAATGATAAGAAATTTAAGTGTGGGGTGCTTAAGTCAGATAGATGTGGTGGGAGGGTAGCAGGAAACGGGGCTTTGGGGTGAGGGGCAGCTTAGGGCAGGAAGTGTGCAATGGAGGTGCTGGGGGCTCAGGGTAGGGAATTGGGAGTGTGGGGCTGTAGGAGTCAGGGATGGGGTGTAGGGACTCAGGGCAGAGAGTTGAAGGGTTGGGAGTCAGGGCAGGGAGCGTGGGGGGCACATGAATCACAGCTGGGGAGTTCAGGAGTCAGAGCAGGTGGCTGGGAGTGTGGGGTGCTAGGCAGGGATGTGGGAGTAGTCAGGGGTTTAGTGCAGAGGGCTAGGTAGGTGCAGGGGGAAATTGGGGGGTGGGAAGGGCAGAATTGTGGGGTGCTAGGCAGGGATGTGGGAGTAGTCAGGGGTTTAGTGCAGAGGGCTAGGTAGGTGCAGGGGGAAATTGGGGGGTGGGAAGGGCACCATTTTGGTACTGGGGGGACATACGGGGATGCTGCTGCTTCTTCCCTTCCCCATTTCCGTGCTACCGGTGTGAGGCTCCCAGGAGATCACCCAGGTCGCCCTGCTTGGGGGAAGGGTGGGGGAGGGTCTGGGGTGGAAGGGGGTTGTCCCATCCTGCAATAGGGCGGGCCCATTGAAAGTGGGGGATGGGGATGGGGGGACAGGACCCAGTGAAAGTGGAGGATGGGGATAGGGGGCAGGGGGG